CAGCCACTGTACTCCAGTCTGGGCGACAGAGTGAGACTCCAACTCAAAAAAATAAATAAATAAAATTCTGTGCTTGTAAACAGTTTGCTCACTTTTATATCAAGTTATTCCAGATGGATATTTTGTCAAATACTTTGTTTGCATTGTGTTAATATTTATGTCTAAGTTACCTATTAATGAATGACTGCTTCTCCAAAGCTGAGCCTGCATAACAAATGGAACCTACCAAGTCAAAGCAAAATTCTTGTACTAACAAAAGTATAACAGTATCATTTAAAAAGTATTTCAATTGCACTAAAAAAAAAAGGAATCAAGAAAAATATTTTTGATTAAGGTATTTTCTTTTTTTTTTTTTAATTGGAATCTCTCTCTGTCGCCCAGGCTGGAGTGCAGTAGCACACTCACAGCCACTGCAGCCTTGACCTGCTGGGCTCAGGCGATCCTTCCGCCTCAGCCTTTCAAGTACCCAGAAGTACAGGCAAGCAATACCACACCCAGCTAACTTATTTTTTATTTATTTATTGTAGAGATGAAGTCTCACCAAGTCTCCCAGACTGTTCTTGAACACGTGGGCTCAGGCAATCCCCTCACCTTGGCCTACCAAAGTGCTGTAATTACAGGCTTGAGCCACAGTGCCTGCCTGTCCCCCGCCTTTTCTTTCCTTTTTTGAGTCAGAGTCTCACTCCTGCCCAAGCTGGAGTGCAGTGGCATGATCATGGCTACCACAGCCTCAACTTGCTGGGCTCAGGCAATCCTTCTGTTTCATTCTTTCAAGTGGCTGAAACTATAGGTGTATGCCACCATGCCTGGCTAATTTTTTTGGTTTATCGTAGAGATCAGGTCTTGCCAAGATACCCAGGCCTGTCTCAAATGCCTGGGCTCCAGAAATCCTCTCACCTCTACCTCCCAATGATTAAGGTATTTCTAAAGAAAATATTAAATATTACACCAGAACTTAGGATTTCTCCCATTAACTTTTCTTAATATGACCCAAATTTTAAAAAATGTATTTCATATGACACACAAAAAACAAAACACAAATTACATAAATTAATACTCAAGCCTTACTATATGCAGTGCCCACTGATACTAGCTACCTATTCTACTCTATTTCAATGAAAGGTATGTCAGTCAGACCCATTATACACTTGCTATCCAGTAATGTAGAACAGTATGAGAAATACAGAATTAGGAAATGAAATTATTTTGTATGGAAGGTAAATATTCATAACCCAATTGGCTCTCTCCCATCTGAGTTAATACTGGCTTTAAAAGGTTTTCACAATACTTCTTTAGGACCTGAAGCCATTAGTCAAAAGTCTTTAAACTTCCATTATTGCCCCGCTGCCAAGCTCCAGATCTATTAAAGTACAAAATGACCAAGAAAAGGGACTTGTGGGAAAAAACCAGAACTACTGTTAGAAAAAGAGAAGATCAGTAATAATGACTTTCATTTAAAATATCTTCTTACCAGGATATGAGAATAAAGGGAAACAACCTAATGAAATTTACCCCCCAAAATGAAAAATCCTTCCAAGTGTTGAAAATATATATGTCCATTATGACACTCTATAAATACTACTGGTCTCTACTGTTTGTTCAAACTTATCTGAAGTAACTCATTCTTAGCATCAAAAATTCAGACAATCCTATTCCCATAAAATAATGCAATTTTGTCCTTAATAAAACAATAAAACACTTGCAGTGATCATGGGCATATTAAGGACAAAGAATCAATACATCAAGAGATACCTTATTTTCTGCTATTTTTCAATTATCCAATGTTGCAATCACCATTTCATCTTGGATAGGAAACGTCAACTAAACTATTTTTCTAACACAATAGGTAGGATGTAAAAATTTTACTGCACCTAAAGCTACACAAGACATTTTAGTAGCCTCTGTTAAACAGGAGAAAGCTTCAATATGCGTTCAATATGAATAAGACAAACTTCACTTCTTTTCTCTAAGCAGTCTGAATTTAGCAAAACTTTAAGTATACTACTAAGAATGTAAAATTTCCTAAAATTACTATACTACTGCCCAAATGGTAATAAAAAACTAGCATTAAAATATTTATTTAGGGCTGGGTAAGGTGGCTCATACCTGTAATCCCAGCACTTTGGGAGGTAGAGGTGAGAGGACTGCCTGAGCCCAGGGGTTCAAGACCAACCTGGGCAACTTAGAGAACTCATCTCTACAATTAAAAAAAAAAAAAAGCCAAGTATGATGGTACATGCTTGGGGTTCCAGCTACTTGAAAGGCTGAGACAGAAGGGTCGCCTGAGTGCAGAAGATCAAGGCTTGATCTTCAGGCCACTGCACTCCAGCCTGGGTGACACAGTGAGATTCTGACTCAAAAAAAAAAAAAATTTAAGAATTTAAAATAGTTATCTGTAGAGTTGTAAGGACAATTTAAAAATTACAGTTGTAATTGTCACCTACAGTATGTCTCTAAGCCTGATTTAATAAACTCTTACCTAGAAATTTTTTGTGATGCAGTAGGTGTTCCAACAAATGCCTCGGGCAGCCATGGATTTGAGATTGAATATACTATAGATGGTTCTTCTATTTTAGGACTATAAAGAAGATAAACATTTAAGTTTTCATCAGGTATCATAAGGAGAACTGATAAAAATGTCATAAGATTAGAGGAGAGAAGAAGGGGATTCTTTTTTTTACTTTTTACATTTCTGCATTAGTTACAAATAAAGATGAACATGTTGCTCTTCAAGATTAAAACAAAATTCTTCTTGTAAGATATATAGCCAACATAAAAAGAGTTTTCTTCTTTTTACATATTCTAAGAAACCAAGGCAATGAAGGGTACATTGTTGATGAATGCTGCTGAATGTCAGAAAGATTAGTAAATCACATGACCATAAAAGGTGTAATAAAAACATACCTTTTGTAAAGTAAGTCACTATTTTTAGGTTCACTGCTTGCCGAAACGTCTCCAATTTTAGATAACACATTATTGATGAACACAGATCTTGTTAACACAGTTCCTTTCACAGCTTGCTTTGGAACTGATGATAATGGTTTGGGTCTAGAAACTGCAAAGGAATGTAGAAATTAATTCCATCTCTAACAAACAGGATTTTAGTAAAAAAATATGAAAACACAGATCACATGATAAGAATATCATAGTTAAAATTTTTTTTTTTTTTTTTGAGTTGGAGTCTCACTGTCACCCAGACTGGAGTGCAGTGGCCGCTCCTGGCCACCGTAGCCTTGATGTGCTGGGCTCTGGCAATCCTTCCGCCTCAGCCTTCCAAGTAGCTGGAACTACAGGCATGCGCTACCATCCCCGGCTAATTTTTGATATATTGTAGAGATGAGGTCTCACCAAGTTGCCCAGGCGGGTCTCGAACCCGCAGGCTCAGGCAATCCACTCACCTCAGCCTCCCAAAGGCGCGGGATTACAGGCTGAGCCACTGAGCCCAGCTTATAGTTAAAATTATATTCATTGTACAGCTATGCAGAATTTAACAATCTGGCTTTCAGGAAATGGTACAAAACTATTCTACATGTTTTCTAAAAGTCTTCAATTGGAAGAAAAAGTATTCTTTCATTTTGCATTACACTAGTAAAGACGTTGTAAAATCTTCTTTAAAAGCCTTACATTTCTTGGGATAGAGCAGCCAGGAAAATAGTACACCTGTGATGAATCTGACTATAGGCATACTTCATTTTACTGCACTTGGCTTAAATGCATTTTAATAAAATTATTTTTTATAAATTGAAGGTTTGTGGAGAAAATAAACTGCAGATATGGTAGAAATAGGAAGAAAACTAGAATTTGAAGTGATATTTGGGCCAGGCATGGTAGCTCACACCTGTAATTCTGGTGCTGAAATCCCATACATCTGAAACCAGTATTTATCAAAGTTTAGTTTTAGAAAACTACTTAAATGTTTAAAACAAGTAATCTATCTATATGATCTCAAAGATACTTTGTATACATAATCTGAATACTAATTGCAACATAACAAATCTTTTAACAATGTCAATAAGACATCTTTAAAGAATCTTGCCTGGCATGGTGGCTCAAGCCTGTAATCTCAGCACTTTGAGAGGCGGAGGTGAGAGGATTACTTGTGCCCAGCCTAAGCAACTTGGTGAGACCTCGTCTCTACAATAAAAAAATTAGCAGTGCATGGTGGCGCGTGCCTGTGGTTCCAGCTACTTGAAAGGCTGATGTGGAAGGATCACCTGAACCCAGTAGGTTGAAGCTGTGGTAGGGATGACAGTGAGACTCCGATGCAAAAAAAAAAAGAAGTTCATGCTGCTCTTTAAGTGTAAAATAGTAAGAGCAAATTTAGTACACAGAAAATCAAAGAATACAGGTGGAAATTCAAAGGAGGCCAAGGTGGGAGGACTGCCTGAGCCCAGGAATACAAGACTAGCCTGGGCAACATAGCAGAACTCACCTCTACAAAAAATATACAAATAAGCCAGGTATGGTGGCATGCACCTATGGTCCTAGCTACTCAGGATACAGATGCAGAAGGACTGCTTGAGACAAAAGTTTGAGGTTACAGTGAGCTATAATTATGCCACTGTACTCCAACCTGGACAACAGAGTGAGATCCTGTTCTCCCTCACCTACCCCCCAAAAAGGGAGAAAAAAAAGTGGAGCCTGAAGATGCGACTGAATAGATGCAATCTCATGATAAACTTGAACAGATGAGGAGATGCTTAAATATAAGCAAAGAAAGTGGTTTCTTGAGATGGAATCTGCTCCTGGTGTAAATGCTGTTAACATTGTTAAAATGACAACAAAGGATTTAGATTACATAACTGAGATGATAGGACAAAGGCAGGGTAACAGAGGATTGACTCCAATTTTGAAAGAAATTCTACTGTAGATAAAATGCTATCAAACAACATCACATCCCAGAGAAATATTTCGTGAAAGGAAGAGTCAATTGATGTGGCAAACTTCACTGTTGTCTCACTTGAAGAAATTGCTAGCCGGGCTCAGTGGCTCAGCCTGTAATCCCGCGCTCTGGGAGGCTGAGGTGAGTGGATTGCTTGAGCCTGCGGGTTCGAGACCCGCCTGGGCAGCTTGGCGAGTCCTCATCTCTACAATAAAAAATTAGCTGGGCGTGGTAGCACGTGCCTGTAGTTCCAGCTACTTGGAAGGCCAAAGCGGAAGAATTGCTGGAGCTCAGCAGGTCGAGGTTGCAGTGGCCATGAGTCACTTTGTCGCCCAGGCTTGAGTGCAGTGGCACAGTCATGGCTAACACAGCATCAACCTGCTGGGCTCAGGTGATTCTTCTGCTTCACTCTTCCAAGTAGCTGAGAGTACAGGCACACCCCAACACACCCAGCTAATTTTTTGATTTATTGTAGAGATGAGGGCTCAAAAAGTTGCCCAGAGTGGTCTCGAATCCCAGGGTACAGGCAATCCTCTAGCCTTGGTCTCCCAAAGTGTTGGGATTAGAGGGGTCAGCCACCACACCCTGCTAATAAAGTATTTTAAAATTAAGATATATACATTGTTTTTTAGACACAAGGCTATTGCACATTTAACAAGACTACAGTATAGTGTAAATGTAACTTTTATATGCACTGAGAAACCAAAAAAATTTAGGAGAACTGCTTTATTGTGATATTCAATTCATTGCAGTGATCTGGAACCAAACCAGCAATATCTCCAAGGTATACCTGCATATATTAGCAAAAGTGAGCTAAATTTAAGATAATGGTTTCAGAAAGGTAATCATTCAATATCTTATCTTTTTTGGTACAATAGTTGGAGATTCTTCAATGAAATCTTACCTTCTCGAAAAACTGATTTGGACAGATGGTAAGGCTTAGCTTGCTCCATGGCTAATTTTCGCTGGATTCTAGGAAGAATTTTTCCATACTGGTCTAATATAGAATTTCGAACCACTGATCTCTCTCGCAGACGAGGATCACGGTCATTCTATTGAACATATCACAATTGGTAAAAGTTTAATCTTCAAAATGTTAGGTCCTATAGGTATATATTTACCATTTAAAGTAAGATTATGAATATCCAAAATATCTTCCTCCTACCTATACATCCATTTGTCTAAATCAAGAACTTCATTCACACACCTAACTGCTTTATCAATCCTCACCCATCAATAAATTCCAAATCTCTGCTACCGAGTCTTGATTCTTCACAACTAACAAAAACATTGGTTACCATTTGCTAAGCATCCCCATGTGTTAGGCAACATACTACTTAACACACACATTTCTGTGCATCCTCAAAACAACCTCACAAGGAGATATTATTTTACAGGTGAGGAAAAAAAGGCTCAGAGTATGTCCCAAGGATACCAAGCAAACAAAGAATCAGTCTGGAATTAGTCATGACCCTTAAAGTCCAACGCTCTCTGTACTATATATAACTACTACTACTGTCTTCTACCTCTTCCTCTTGCTTTCCCTAAGGGAAGTGGTTAATCTGACAAAATTGTGGGCAGACATCAAAAACATTAAAGGTATATATAAAAGAATTAGATAAATTATAATACCCTGTTCCCAGTTATTGCAGAGATGAAAGATTCTCCAAGTTCAGGACACAGTGGTTATCAGACTGCAAACTTACATAACAAACAAGAACCCCAAAAGACTCCAATATTTTTTTATTCTCCCGTCCCTCATAATAAAGGAATTTTACTCATACCATAAGATTAATCTTCAGAGTTTGGTTCAGCTTCAAAGCAGAGACATAATTGGCACGCTGCAAATGGTGAACTAAAAGAAATTCATGATTCTGAACACTGGCACTGGACTGCAAAAACTTCACTAAACATGCCTAGGGAAAAAAAAAAAAATTTGTAAACTATCAATTTATCTTGAATTTTTGACAAGTTTATATACTGACAAAATTACCTGCTCAGTGTCTGTAAACGGTAACTTCAGTAAATCCTCCATTAAACTCACTTCCTGACAGACTTCATACGTGTGGTTTAGTAACTCCTCTATATTCAACCCATTAGAATGTTGCCGCAATAAACTCCAGGCTTCAACCATACACCTGAAAACAGTATTTACCAATGTTTAGTTTTAGAAAAGTTATTTAAATGTTCAAAACAAATAATCTACCTATAGAATCTCTAAGATACTTTTACATATAATTTGAATACTAACTGCTGCATAACAAATCTTACTAATAATAAGACATCTTTAAAGAATTTTATGCTACTTTTTAAGTGTAAAATAATAAGAGAACAAAGAAAGTATACAGAAATTCAAAGACCCCCCCCCAAAAAAACCCAAAAAACAATGTGGCCTGGATAGAACTGAAAAACTGGTACAGTATGACAGAGAAAGCCAGACTTTTCAAGAAGTGATACTCAGCATAAGAAGAGTGAAAAAGAATGTATGAAGGAATACAGGAGGAAACAAGCATATTGTATTCATGGGAAATGAAGGGTATAGCTTAGTAGTATGAGGGAAGACCCAAAAAAACCTGGAATTTATTTATTAAAAAATTGTGTGTTCTTACATGTTTAAACTTCAGTTACCTTCAAAATACTCTCCGTTTGATGAAATACATGTATTGATATGCTTTTTCCACTGCTCAAAACAGTTATTTATTTATTTTTTTACTTATGAGTTGTAGTCTCGCTCTGTCGCCCAGACTGGAGTGCAGTGGCCGCTCCCAGCCACCGCAGCCTCAACCTGCTGGGCTCTGGCGATCCTTCCGCCTCAACCTTCCGAGTAGTCGGAATCACAGGCGCGCACTACCACACCCGGCTGATTTTTGATTTATTGTAAAGATGAGATCTCGTCAAGTTGCCCAGGCGGGTCTCAAAGCTGCGGGCTCAGGCAATCCACTCACCTCAGCCCCCCCAAGGCGCGGAATTACAGGCTCAGCCATTGAGCCCAGCTTATTTATTTTTTTGAGTTGGAGTTTCACTCTGTCACCCAGGCTGGAGTACAGTGGCAAGATCATGACTTCCACAGCCTCAACCTGCTGGGTTCAGGTTATCCTTATCCTTCTGACTCAGCTTTTCAAGTAGCTGGAACTACAGGTGTGTGCCACCATGCCAGCTAATTTTTTAAAAAAATTTATCATAGAGATAAGGTTTCGCCATTTTTGCCTAGGCTGGTTGCGAATCCTTGGGCTCAGGCAATCCTCTCATCTCTGCCTCCCAAAGTGCTAGAATTATAGGCGTGAGCCACCACCCACCTCAAAACAGTTTTGAACTCATCAATGTTGATGCCTTTTGGCACTTTTCCACATTTGCAAAACATTTCTCTTTGAGGACTTTTTCCATCCAGGAAAACAAAAAAAAAGTTTGGTTGAAATCGGGTGAACAGGGATGGAAGGGCATGGGGGTCATGACATTTTTGGTCAGAAGCTGCTGACCACTCAGTGCCACATGGGCACATGTGTTGTCATGGTGGGAGAACCAGTCACCTGTTTGCCACAACTCGGGATGTTTCTTATGCAAATCATGACAAAATCTTTTTAAAACTTCCAAATAAAAACTTTGATTTACTGCTTGTTCCAGAGGAACAAATTTCAAATGTACTACAAGGGGCCTGTCCTCCAAAAGATAATTCCTGTTTTCTTTGGGTCCTTACTAATATTTTGATTGGTTTGCAGCAATATCTGATTAGAAAGCTTGGGTCAAATGTGACAGTCTTAGACATCATGGTGAAATGCTGAGACACCTTTCTTTGGGAAATAAGATCATTTAAATGAAGCAATGTTTCTAACATAGAAGTCTCTCAGAATGAGGTGTGGATTCTGAGAGCTTAAAAAAAAAGCTAGCATTCAACTCATACTCCACAATAGGACTGTCTTGGAGGTTCACGGGTATATCTATGAAAATTAAAATTACATATAGGCTATGACCCAACAATCCCAATGCAAAAAATATAATCTACAGAAATACCAGAAAAATTGCATAAAGATTTATATATTAAGACTATACAGTGAAACAAAGGATTATGATGCAGCCCTATATGAGGCAGGCATACATTAACTTGAATAATCAAGATATATTAAATTTTTTAAAAAGCAAGTTTAAAACAGTATGAATATTTAAAAATTAACAAATAAACAGATGTTTATGTATTTACTAAGCAGATAAAAACTTCCGAAAATATACACTGAAACCAATAAATATTAATCTTTCAGTTAATTTTTGGAGAGACTGACAATTTTCAAGGCAGAAGGGACAAAGAAAAAATGGCAAGTAGATAAGAGTTATAGTAATTAGTACTCATAATGAAAATTCATCTGAGGAAATTTTGGCAGCACTGTCCCAGACTTCCTGTGAATATAAAGTTACTCTAGGAAGCAAATGGCAGCCATCTGTTAATTTTGTTGTACTAGGACTAGAATAATGTCGCATATTCCATAGGCCTTGTAGAGGTCAGCAACTCAAAGAAGTAAAATGTTATGGGGTATTCCCTAAAACTTGACATATGAAATTGCCTTGTACTTCTCCTACCAGAACAGGCAAAACAGTGTGATTACAACTTGAGCGTACTTATCGGTGAGCACATGTGCAAATGTACAGAAATAAAACAAAGTGATTTTTTCCTAAACCAAAAACCTGGGAATGTTAAAAATAAAGAGGACAGCTGGGCTCAGTGGCTCAACCTGTAATCCCAGCACTTTGGGAGGCTGAGGTGAGAGGATTGCCTGAGCCTGCGGGTTTGAGACCCAACTGGGCAACTTAGCAAGACCTCGTCTCTACAATAAATCAAAAATTAGCCAGGCGTGGTAGCGCACACCTGTAGCTCCGGTTACTTGGAAGGCTGAGGTGGAAGGATCACCGGAGCCCAGCAGGTCGAGGCTGCAGTGGCCAGGAGTGTGCCCCTGCACTCTAGTCTGGGCGACAGAGCGAGACTCCAACTCAAAAAAAAAAAAAAACCTCCCCCAGAAACAGAGGACAATGTGAACCGTTAAATTATTAAATCTCATGACAAAGGTTAATTTCCCTAGTGTATAAAGAGATCCTACAAATCAGTAAGAAAAATTCCAACATAGAAAAAGAGAGAAAAAATTTTAAAGGGGAAGTCACAAAAGAAATAGCTCTTTAAGAAAATTGTATTCTGTATCTTCATATTATATATCTTCAAGAAAATGTATTATAGTGACAAAAAACTATTTTTTTTTTCATAGTCTCACTCTGTCACCCAGGCTGGAGTGTTGTGGCAGAATCATGGCTCACTGCAGCCTTGACCTCCTGGGCTCAGGCAGTCCTCTTGCCTTGGCCTCCATAAGTTCTGGGATTACAGACACAAGCCACCATGCCCAGCCCCAAACACCTATCACTGTGATAGGAGATTTGCTTCAGAGAAAAAAAATATCTGAAAACACACTGTGTTGATAAAGAGCATAGAATAAGGCAATTGGGAGAGGGGAGAGTTAAACTGGCATCACTCTCACAGAGAGCAATTTGCCCTGTTTATCAAAATTACAGTTGCAACTATCCTTTCACCCTAGAAATTGTATAAAATAAATTTGCACGTGTGCAATATGTATGGTTGTTCATCATAACACTGTTTACAATGGCAAAAAATGGAAATATCCTAAATGTTGATAAAGGGGAACAAATAATGGCACATCCATCCAAACAATGAATTACTATGCAACAGTTAAAAGCAAGAAAGCTTTTTATGTATTATTATAAAATTACCTCAAACTAAGTAAAAAAAAAAATATTGCAGAAAGGTATATAGTATACTGATTTTATTCTAAAAAAGGAGGTGGGGAGATAACATATATGCATTTGCTAACATCTATCTAGAAAAACTCAGAAAGCAGACACTAGAAGTTATTAACACTGACTGGGTACCAGGAGGCTGAGGATTCACTGTGTATCATTTTTACTTCTTAAAACATTGAATGAAATTACTATGTATATTTTTTAGTTTATATACATACATTTTATTTTAAAGATGTGGGGTAAAATTCAGGATTAGGTATACAAGTGGACATCATACCCACTCTATATGCTTGACCTTCCCCAGCCCATGAATACATATTTTTAAAGTTTTCCACTTGAAAGTGTGATACCAAACTTCCACTTGAGCAGACATACGAGTAGGAGTAAGATGAACTTATTTTTGATTTATCAAATATTAATTTTTTAACAGTATATAGAGTATTCTTAATAGCAAAAGACAAATGATCTTTCCTCATCAGAATCCCCCATATCAGAAAAATACATAGTTACCCCCATCTTTAAGAAATCCATTGCCAACACTCATTTACATTTTAAAACAAGAAATTTCCAAAATTCTCACTATTCTCCTGCTTCTTGTGATAGAAAGTCATGCTGCTAGGAAGAGCAGTAAGAAAATTGTTTCTACTGACAAAAGGCTAGGTTAGCAAGTTGTCAGTAAAAAGATGTAAGAAGTCATTTCAATAAGAAATGTATGAGGTTCATACAGAAGATAGCCTGAAATATTCTCCTGTGACAGACTCTCTAAAAATGTTAGACTGAATACAAACAATCTTTAAAAATGCATGGTAGAGACCACAATGAAAAAGGAAATTCCAGAGAGGTAAACAAGCAACCACTGATTTCCAGTTACCAGACTAAAGTAAAAAGACTAGGAAAAGGTATGCAGGATATAAACAACAACAGAACCCTGGGCTGTTTGTAAGATAGCTTGTGCTTAGATTCAGCAAGTGTTTGTGAGATAGCTTGTGCTCACAATACAATTGTTAGAGGTCAACACACAGGAATTATTTAAACTCCATATTGCTCTTAACATCCCTGCTACAATAAGTAGCCGTTTCAGTATTATTATTTGAAAGGGTGCAAATTAATAATACCATTAACATAAAATAATAGTTCAAAAACAGAGTAGCACCTCACTTATCTAGCACAGGGTAAGTCTGGGGGAAGGTGTTAGTGCTGATGGCTGAAATATTAAAACTTTGTCAGCCATTTTAACTTTCAGTCTACAATGACAGAATTTGGGTGTTAGAATGACCACTATAGAGTCTAATCTCTTTTAAGTTCAAATTTCCCAAACAGCCTCTATCCATGGTTCAAGGACATATTAATTAAACACTCTGTTGAACTAGAGATGTAGGTATCTGAATAAATTAAGTGATTATGTATTCACCACAGGACATATCCAGAAACTGTTTTCTTGAGTAAGTTCCCATAAATCAGCTTGTTTTCTTATCATTTGCTTCTTTCTGATAAGAGCGGAATATAAATTATGTTACCGCATAATCTGGGCAATGAAATGTGGCCACCTTTTGCAATATTATCAGTTCGAAAATTAAAGCAACTTTCTCCTAAGGTGGTTCACCTTTACTGTCTCAACTGTGAACTGTGACTTTGACTAGCAACACTCAAGTCATTCTCTATTTACAGGACTAGCAATTATTTTTAAACACTTGCTGAATCTAAGCACAAGCTATCTCACAAACAGCATTTTGAGTGGTTATGTTTTAATTTCCATACTTAATGTATAGGACATTTAATGTTCTAGTTTTCTGAGAACTGGGTAACTGAGACTTTACTTAAGAAAAATTCAAGGTTTAGAAATTTAAATTACTTAATGTGTGTCTACTATGTGGCTGAGGGAGAAGAAATAATGAGAAACTATAAACCAAAGAAACATGCTATAAATGAAAGAACAATGGATTTCCAAAAAAGAAAAAAAAACCAGCAACCTTTCAAAGATGTTTCTTCCAAGGTTCCAACATTTGCTCTTCTTAGCGATCAAGTACCAACTCTTTAAAGTCAGTAAGTAAAGAGTGAGAAGCTACATGCAATTAAAAAAAAAAATTACATTCTGATGGCCTATCCAATACTAGAACTCTCAGTTCATTTACTCAACAGATATCACATTTAGCTTCTTTTTAAAAATATTCTATTTTGCTTCTTTAAATTTTTGTTCTTAAAGTAAAGCTTATTGAAAATACAAATCTGATCTCATAAAATATGGTTCAGTCATTCTAGATTAATTAGGTTAGCTAAAAACACTTTTATTAAGCCAGATGATTTCAACAAGTACTTACTAATTCATTATTTTTAAGGATACTGTTAAGTTTCTACATGTCTAACTAATCTGTTAGACTTTGTAACTTTTCTTCTGCCTGAAGTCCAACAAATCTCCCTTAGAAAAATATTCTATTTAACCAAAGAGAACTAAGAAAACTTAACTTCAAGAGGGCTAACAATGAAGTGACTATTGGTTCATATACAACAGTCTGAGGTAGTGTGACTAACTTCTAAAAATATCAAAATGAGGCCCGGCTTGGCGGCTCAGCCTGTAATCCCACGCCTTTGGGAGGCTGAGGTGAGTGGATTGCGTGAGCCCGCGGGTTTGAGACCCGCCTGGACAGTGAGACCTCATCTCTACAATAAATAAAAAAAAATCAGCCGGGCGTGGTAGCGCATGCTTGTAATTCCAGCTACTTGGAAGGCTGAGGTGGAAGGATCGCCGAAGCCCAGCAGGTCGAGGCTGTGGTGGCTGGGAACGGCCACTGCACTCCAGTCTGGGCAACAGAGTGAGACTCCAACTCAAAAATAAAAATAAAAATATCAAAATGATCAACCACAATAGGGTTGAATAAAACCAATAAGAGTGGTATAAAGTTACAGTCTAGTAAGAAATTTCAGCTCCAAGCAATTTCTCCAGCAACCTTAGTTTAATAAGAAAACCCAATCACCAGACCAATTATGCCATTTAGCCTGCCACAGTTACTATATAGGTGAGAAATTTAATAATCATAGCAATATGTGTAGTATTAAAATATAAATGGCAAGCATATCATACTAATTAGAGAACATTAAAATATTGCAAAAGGAAGAAACAACAATAAAGATACCACTTGCTCATATCTGGTTAAAGTATTGACACAAAATTGGTCACTTTCTTAAATTATTTAAACATATACTTCAATATTCACTTTCTATGAAGAGCCTGTGGCAAATGCAACAACAAAATTCAAATACAAATAAGCGCAATACCCAAGCAACCAATATTAACAAAAATATCAGAGCAACATTACTGAATATAAATGCTCAAATATAATTTGTCACCTCTATTTAACTTCATTCTTCCTCTCTATTCCTGACGCCCTTCCAGCATACTCAACATTCAGTTGTATATGCAGGTATGTTGTCTAATAGCAAAATATATATTTATAAATCTCAGTTTGGCACCCTCCCCTTTCACTCAAGGTACTTATTCTAGATAAAAGGTGCTGTATGTTTTTCTTAACATTGAAAGACCAGTAAACATAAGAATATTAAGTAATACAACGAAAAGCAAAATATAGTCATCCTCTGGTATTCTCAGAGGGACTGGTTCCACAACCCCTGCAGATACCAAAATCCACATATACTCAAGTATCAGAGTTGCTCTAAGAACACCCATGTGGGCCAGGAGCGGTGGCTCACACTTATAATCTCAGCACTTTGGGAGGCTGAGATGAGAGGACTGCCTGAGCCCATAGGTTCAAGACCAGCTTGGGCAACTTGGCGAGACCTCATCTCTAATAAAAATAAAAATAAAAATAACACACGTATGAAAAGTTGACCCTCCATATATGCAGGTTTCATAACCCATGAATAATGTACTTATAAAATACTCATATAAGTAGACCTTCATCGTTCAAACCTGTGTTTTTCACAGGGTCAATTATATACTGCTATTTCATCAATTCTATTTTATTAACAGATTTGATTAAGAGTTGATACTTTTAAAAGATGCGCTTACCTATTAAAAAGCAAAACACTGAGGTGAAGGATAATATCACTACCACTGGACATTACTGGCTTCATTGTTTGAATATATCTGAGGGCTTGTTTGTGCTCGCCTTGACTCATGAAGGCCTGAATAATCTTTGAATGTTGCCATGACAAAGGTTTTGCAGTAGATGGATGAAACAGAAGATTCAAACCACTCTGCAAAAATGACATGAAAAGTGCTAAATATAAATACTGTTTGCAGTGAGACAAATTAACTAACTTTTAAAATGACAGACAATACTAAAAACCACAAAAATCAAGATAAAATCAGTTTAAATATAAGCTGGAAAGATCTACTTTATACTTTAATCTGTGGTATACAGTTGGTGCTCCATATCCACTGTTCCATAATCCCAGATTCAACCAATTGCAGACGGAAAATGTTAGAAAAAATTAAAAACACAATAAAATATAATACCAATAAAAACAATACCAAATAAACTATTTACATAGCATTTATACTGTATTAGGCATTAAAAATAATCCAGAGATGATTTAAAGTATTATCATCCCTCAGTATCTGCAGGGGACTGGACTGCCCTGAGATATAAAAATCTGCAGATGCTGAAGTCCCTGTTATAAAATGGTACATATCCTTCCATATACTTTAAGCAGTCTCTATATTACTTAAATACCCAGTACAAAGTAATTGACATGTATATACTTCTTATACTGTAATGTTTAGGGAATAATGACCCCAAAAAAGTCTGTACATGTTCAGTACAGATGCAAAATTTTTCCACTGAATATTTTCAATCAGTGGCTGGTTGAATAAATGAATGTAGAATGGACGTGGAGGGATGACAGTATACGGGAGGCTATGTGAAGGATATATGCAAATACTGTGCCATGTTACAGAAGAGACTTGAGCCTCTGTGGATTTTGGCATCTTTGGGGATCTGAGATACTGGGGGTTGACTATATTTTACCTTAAAGAATAAAAACCTTGGGCTCGGTGGTCCAGCCTGTGATCCCAACACTTTGGGAGGCCGAGGCGAGTGAACTGCCTGAGCCCGCGGGTTAGAGACCAGTCCAGGAAACTTGGTGAGACCTCCTCTCTATAATAACTTAAAAATTAGCTGGGTGTGGTAGCACATGCCTGTAATTCAGGCTACTTGGAAGGCTGAGGAAGGATCGCCGAAGCCCAGCAGGTCAATGCTGGGGTGGCCATGAGTGTGGCCTGGGTGATGAGGTGAGACTCCGACTCAAAAAACAAAACAAAAAAGAAGGAAACAAACAATTATGAGTATGTTTGGGGTGTTGAGTGAACCATGGGTGGCAGGATTTGGCACTGATGTATGAAATTGGTAATGGGATGATCTTATAAAATAACATAGCGAGATCTTAAAGGTATGAACCTTTTGATAAGGCATTTATTCTTTTTGGTTTTTTTTGAGTCAGGGTATTGCCCAGGATGGAGTGCAGTGACACACTCATGGCCACCCCAGTGTCAACTTGCTGAGCTCTGGTGATCCTTCCGCCTCAGCCTTCCAAGTACCCCAAACTACAGGTGCGCACTACCATGCCTAGCTAATTTTTTGATTTACTGTAGAGATGAGGTCTCGCCAAGTTGTCTGGGCTGGTCTTGAACCCGTGGGCTCAGGCATTCCACTCACCTCAGCATCCCCAAGTGGTGGGATTACAGGCTGAGCCACTGAGCCTGGCTGTTTCCTTCCTTCTTTAGACTGTAAGGAACCTGGAAACCTGAACTGTTATCTTTGTCTTCTTGCTGCCTCAGATGGTGTTTGGTGAAGGTACTGATTAAACCAAGTCTTTCTTAAATTACCTCTAGAAGTATATTGCATCATATCTTTAACATAAAATTTAAACCTGTTATGCATATTTTATAAAATTCTAACTAATTTATGAAAGTTTACATTCTAGGTTAACAGACTTACCTCATTGTCATTATGATCTATCAACCAAAACCCCTGAATACGTTTAACCTGGCCCCAAGAAATGGCAAAAGCAGTTGGAAAAGATTCAATGCAAGTGTCCGTTTTGTTTAGAAAAGAATACATAATATCAAGTAGCAAATAAATGGTCTTTAATAGACAGAATTAAGGAAAAAAAAAAACCAGCAAAAAACCCCCACCTACATACATAACCTAGAATAGGCAGCAATATAATGTAGCACGAAAGAGGATTCGAAGACTTCTTTCTAGTGTTCAGAAAACCATCATGGATATTCCGCTATGGGAATATGAACAAAGTTTTAATAAATGTGGGTGCTGTCAGTCTCACACCAACTTTATTCATTCTCAATATATTATTACCACCACAAGGGAAAAAAACTAAAGTATACTTTCTTCATGGAGTTGAACGCTTAGCAAATTGAGTTAACAAAGATATATGAAAAATTCTAGTTGTCCAACGAAAGCTGGCAGCTTAAGCAAAAACATCATCTATCTTATAAATGATGAATGGGTCTACACATTTTTACACTAAGAAATAACCTAAGCACAAAAATATCACAAAAACTACAGGACTCAAACAATGCATAAAGTAATATTAGGCTAATTTACAATATATTTATTTTCAGCACATAGGCGAATGCCATTGCCAGGTCATTTTTAACTCTTTGAGTGACCTGGACACATTTAAGAATCTGATAAAAACCAAGAAAGCTATCACTAGAAAAACAAAGATAAACCAAAATTTTGTATATAATTTTAGGTTAACCATAAGTCATCTGAACCCAACCAACAGATGCTGAGTTAGACCCTTTCTTTAAAAACAAAAACCAACCTCATGATTGAAATTGGATTAGGTATGTATGGTTTCTACTATCTGAAAGTTTAATTTTAATAATACATAAATATTTGACAAAAAATTTCAAGGATACAATTGAATGTTTGTCTTCATCGCTAACGTTGTCCAACAGGTAAATATCAAGCAGTGCCTACAAAAAAAAAGGTTTAAAAACTTCAGTGCACTCAATACAGTCATTCTTTCATTCACGCCCCTTGCTCTCCCAAGCTTACACCAGATGTGAAAAACATAGCCAAGCACATCCCTCCCCAACTTCACAGGCCTTTTACGTAAGAGCACGTTATCGCAAACCTACATGCAGACTAGCAGGGGGATATTTTCCTGTTCCTCCTTCATCTCGTCTCCACAACTTTTCAACTTTATCTCCTAACTGAGAAACCATTTCATCAATCATCAAGCAGTTAGATTTCCACTTGCCTCTGCGATAAGGAAAAAAATTAAGGGTTACTTAATCTTAGCGTTACTCATTATCAAAATTCTTAAAAGTAATAATCCCAATTATCAAAGAGACAAGAGGCTGGGTGTGGTGACTCTCGCCTGTAATCGCAGAGTTTTGAAAGGACAAGGTGGAAGGACAGCTTGAGGCCAGGAGTTTAAGACCAGCCTGGGCAACATAGCAAGACCCTGTGTCTACAAAAAATACAAACATTAGCTGGGCATAGTGGTGTGTGCCAGTAGTTTTAGATACTTGGGAGACTGAGGCAGGAAGACTGCTTAGAAGCCGTGAAGTTTGAAGTTACAGTGAGCTATGATCATGCCACTGCACTCCAGTCTGGGTGACAGACACCCTGTCTCTACAAACAAACAAACAAGAAAACAGAGAGAGAGAAAAGGAGTTGAGAAGTAGACCCCATTTAAGCATCATGAGAACTCCAGACATCAAGAGATAAACCCCGAAGTCAGGTAAACCGTGAAGTTGCCTCAAGTTCAGTCACCAGCAAGCAGATCAGACAAGGTCAGGTGCTGAGGGAGGATGTGGTCTAGTCAACCAAATGTCTGAGACTATTCTATTTCTCACCATCTTGAGCGAATTACCATAGAGTATGGCAGCTCAATGCAGTGAAAATACTGCAGTACAAAGTCAAAGAGCTACGGTTTGTGTTTCATCACTTGATAAAATGTGCATGTTTTTTTCTGAGAATTCTTAATTCAGAAAAAAATTAGAAGGTGGTATTTATCAAATAAGTGTAAATATATCACCAGTTAGTTATTTTATATTCCTGGTATTAACAGTTAACTTTCTAACATGTCAACCAATTTTCTTTTGTTGTTCTTATTTCTTTTTTTTTTTCAGTGATAAAAGTGTCGGAGGCCAGGAGTTCAAGACCAGCCTGGGCAACATAGCAAGACTCTTTGTTTCCTTCAGGATTCCCTCACTGAAAACTGTATCATCGAGCACCTTCAATGTGATAAGAAGGTATTAATGCTGTCCTTTTCTAATATTACTAACAGCAGCAGAAGTTACTACTTATTGAAGGTTTCCAGTGAGTCAGGCACTGTACTAGATGCCCCACACATATTATTTTAGTTTTATACTGACTTTATTATAACAAATAGGATTAGAAAGCATAGGAAATCTGCTCAAGGATGTACCCTTAGGAAATAACTGATCTAAAATTTTAAAATATGCACAATCAATCTCCCAACTTCATGTTCACTATCCTAGATGAGTTATTCTAAAGGACTGGCTTCCAAAATTTGCCATGAATCAGAATTACAGCTGGCACAGTCTTTAAAGTATTGATTTCCAGGTGATTCTAATATAAGAGACCTAGAATCATTTGTTAATCATTGCTCTAAATGTTATATGCTACTTTATAATTTTGTCAGTACAACTTGAGGAAGCCTACTTAATTCCAGAAGTGGGGTCAAGGTTCTAAACACTACTCTTTCTTCTTTTATTACATTTATTTCTTTATTTCAAAGGAATTAACTAGGCAATTGATGTATTCTTTTTTAAGAGTGAAAAAGAAATAAGAACAACAAAAGAAAACTGATTGACATGTTAAAAAGTTAACTGTTAATGCCAGGAATATAAAATAGCTAACTGGTGATATATTGTTTTTTTGAGTTGGAGTCTCACTCTGTCGCCCAGACTGGAGTGCAGTGGCCGCTTCCGGCCACCACAACCTCGCCTGCTGGGCTCCGGCGATCCTTCCGCCTCAGCCTTCCAAGTAGCTGGAACTACAGGCATGCGCTACCACGCCCGGCTGGTTTTTTTTGATTTATTGTAGAGATGAGGTCTCGCTGCCCAGGCGGCACTTATTTGATAAATACTACCTTCTAGTCTTTTTCTGAATAAGAATTCTCAGAAAAAAACATGCATATATTAGACTCTCCCTTAATACATAACTTATGCTAGTTTTACTTAGGAAATAATGAATAGCTACACTTAAGTTCTAAAAAAAAGTTGTAACAATACAACTAAAATAGTAACAGCAGTTACAAATTCTGATACTTTACTGAGAATTCCACCCATTTAATCATTTTGTAACATGATAAACTCTAGTCTATCTGAGAAAGTATGACTCCTTACAGACTATCATTTCTAAAATGTGTTTGAACATCTGGATCTACTATACCTTGATAAACGCTCACACTTCAGCCGCTGACTGGTGTAGTAGTTCTGAATTACAGGATAGTTGTAGCATAACCTTGACAACTGCACAGCATCATCTAGATTTTTTTTTAAAGTTGGAAAAAAAACTAGTAATATTTCCAAAATATATCAACAACACCTAAAGTTACATACATTGATATTTTACCATGATTTTATAATGACAATAACCCTCAGTTAACCTGCAAGCTGCTAAATTTAAGTAATATAAGAATACTACACATCCTTTTATTTACAGATGCATAAGTGAGAAAACAGTCTCTCATGAAAGTCTTTAACAAGGATACTGGCTCAAAGCCCTGGAAACTGTTCTAAAGAATTTTACTTCATAGGCACTAACAATTTGAAAGTAAGCAACGTTAACTGTTCAAATAGAAATCTAAGAGAATTATGAAAAAATAAGAACAATTATGTGCAGTGGCAGAGGCACTTCTAAATAAAATCTAATGGCTTCCTGGAAATGCAGTAAGTTAAAGTCTTTAGAAGTGTGTTCTAAGCGGATATAGTAAAAAGTCAATATCAAAAAAAAATTTTCTAATTCTTGGTACTGGCATTAGTTATTAAGTAAAAGGGGGTATTTAATTGATGATAGATAATACTAATTAGTAACTGTTTTTAAAGGACCCTTTGGGCCGGGCATTGTGGCTCACACCTAATCACTGCACTGAAGGTTGCGGCAAGAGGATTGCTTGAGCCCAGGAGTTCAAGACCAGCCTGGGCAACATAGTAAGACCCTGTCTGTACAAAAAGAAAATTTAAAAATTTCTTCATGCTGGGAATGGAGGTACAGGCCTACTCAGGAGGTTGAGGTGGTAAGCCGTGATTGTGCCACTACACTCTAGCCTGAGTGACAGACTGAAACTCCAACTCAAAAAGTACCCTTAACAAGAAAGAGACTGGAATTCAGGTTATAAAAACTATAGTTCTGAAGATCTAAAAAATAGCTAATGGTATTAATTCATTTTCAGGAACGTTTCCTCAAATTTGCTTTCCTTGTAAATGTTATCTCAATCAAATATTAAGCATGGGATGATAGTGAACACACACAGTAAGAAAGAATGTAATAAAAAAAAGTAAGCACATAAGAAAACAAAAGTGAAGTGGAAGAAAAGAAACCTGAAGCATAGAACACAACAATACAATTATAAAGATTTTAGAATGTTTCAATTAACATATATAAAGTAAATATTTTACCTAAGCCTTCTGGTAAAAGTCCAGAATGACAGAACCAAAGAACTACTTGTGCATATTGACAGATGCAGTGGGTAACCACACACTTATTGCTTAAGTCCATCCGTCCTGTAAAGAAGAGTTAACACCAGTTGTTTCGCTATCAATTTATCAAGTACAAAATAAAAATCAAGATGCACAACAGTTTCTAAATACTAATTAATCATTTGGTGATTTTTAACAATAATATATGGAAAGCTGAGGCGGAAGGATCACCGGAGCCCAGCAGGTCGAGGCTGCGGTGTCCAGGAGTGGCCACTGCACTCCAGTCTGGGTAACGGAGTGAGACTCCAACTCAAAAAAGCCAAAACAAAAACAAACAAGCAAACAAACAAACAAAAACAATAATATGTATATATATATTGAACTAATTTAGCTTGTATGTATTTTACTTGGGTCCAAAATGATGTCAAGCAAATCTCTAAAATGATAAAATAAATAAGTCACTAACTAAAGTGGTCATTGTAGGTAAATATGTTTCCATTTTAACCATACTTTCAATTAGCCTATTTCAGAAGTCAAATTTACACATTAACACAAATTAGTATAATATCATTAATCTGGGTTGTTCAAATCAGGCCTCTGCATAAAACTGGCTTTTCTGTGTTTTGTTGAAATTGCAAAACAGGAAAAATTCATGATTTCATTGAATAAAAATACATATGATTTAACGACTTGCAATTCTACTGAAGTACACTAGTCTTAACGATCATTAACTTTGTTTAACTTCAGAATTTCCCAAGATTATTTAAGTAAGGGCTCATGGCACATATAACAATATTCTATAGCTTTTCATCAAAAAAACCCAACAAAAAAACCCTAGCATTTGAGAAACAAAGTAAAGTCCTCTTTACATAATAACACATCTAAGACACAGGAATTTTATTCCTTTCTCTAAGTCAAGAAGTAAAATTTAATAAAACACTCCTTTGTACAGAAGAAAGATCATACCTCTCTCAGTGATCTCTTGGGCTTTTATTAAAAAACAGTTTAAAACTGTATTAAGATTGCTAAGTAGCAAATGGCACTGTTGAATACACTGTATAGTTTGTGGATCGATGAAACGACATGAACCATCAAATAATGGCATACCTTTCCAGAATAAAACACAAGATTAGTTTGCACAAAGTAAATCTGAAAATAAATTACAATTAAGAACACAAAATTTCTCAAATTCTTTTTACTCAAAAAATTATTCTCTACATTATGAAATTTATAAAGACAAATTAGAAATGGCAAATACCACCAAGAAATCTAAAAAGAGCTTTCAACTTAAAACTAGCAGTAGTCAAGAGTGAGAACATGAACTCAAATACTTTAGATCTAGACCTTATCCTCATAACACTACACATCAAGAAAGGGTTCTACTTTAATAATCAATTAATTATATTAATATTTAATGTGTAATTGGTCTAGCAAACAACTGTCTTAAATCTAAAATACTTCTTTAAATCAAAGTCTAACTAGTTTTACCTCTAATACATTCAAAACATTTCTTATGCTCTGATTTTAATTATTCCTAGACTTTTTAAATTTTATCTTATTTTATTTATTTTATTTTATTTTTTATTTTTTGAGTTGGAATCTCACTCTGTCGCCCAGACTGGAGTGCAGTAGCTGCTCCCGGCCACCGCAGCCTCGACCTGCTGGGCTCCGGCGATCCTTCCGCCTCAGCCTTCCAAGTAGCTGGAACTACAGGTGCGCGCTACCACTCCCGGCTAATTTTTGATTTATTGTAGAGATGAGGTCTCACCAAGTTGCCCAGGTGGGTCTCGAACCCACGGGCTCAGGCAATCCACTCACCTCAGCCTCCCAAAGGCGTGGGATTACAGGCTGAGCCACCGAGCCCGGCTAGACTTTTTTTTTTTTAAACAACTGACAACAAAGCTTGAGACAGCAACGGCTGAGCTACCAAATTCAACCTTGAAACACCATGTTACGCTCAAAGGATTAGAAACTGCGACTCAATTTATGAAGTGAGTTGATTTTTTTTTTTTAACAAAACATAAATAATCAACTCTGAGATTTTCTTCTTAAAAATAGGCATGTTTTTACCCCGATCTTTAATTATCAGGTGTTCTTCCTGACTTTGACTTTATTAAGTGATTACTAATATATTAAAAATAAATTATTTCATTTTTATAGTTTCATAATAGCCCAAAGATGCTAGGAAACTCCATTTCTTCCTATCAAATTTTGTTGGTTTAAAAATCCTCTATTAAGAAAAACTTACACTGTAAAAAGTTATTTATAGTCAAATGATTTTAAAGTTCTTTTGTCTATTCATCATGATACAAAATAAATGACTAAAATATATACATACAAGTGAACTTAAAATTCTACTTTCACTTACAGTGCAATCATATAGCTCAATTACTAGTACCTTCAACATTATTTTTGCACTAATCGGCCATAATGGCTTTTTAATATTCACAGGATACCTCAAAACTCAAAGAATACAACAGACTAATAAACCAGACTGTCAAGAAGAAAAATGATTTGCTATGATGATAATGACACCTGTTGGTGGAGGAAAGAGATGACACATTTTTAACCTGTCATTCAACTTCACCAATATTTTAAACAGAAGTGAATAAGGAGAGTAACTTCTGAGGCTGACACATTCACTTTACTCAATCATAAGTGTACTTAGTAAATTACACTTCTAAGGCCAAAAGTAAATAAAGTATAATTCTATAACCTGCTATTGTGGGCATATCAGCATGTTGCCAGTTTAGAGTTTTCTTCTGGTACTTCTTCAAATTTTGAGAGTTTACAATTTCAAAATCCTTAAAAATTATTATGGTCTTAAAACATAAACTACAATTCCTTTTTAAATATCAAATTCTGCTATTAAAATGATTTTAAAGGAAAGAAATTTTAAAAATTCTGCTCTAAGTCTAGATTTATAACACTTACATAGTTTGTCCAATTCCTTTTTTCTGAGAACTATTTTATTCCATGTCCATTCAAGAACAAAGTGCAAATTAACAGCGGAATTTGGTTGTTCTTATTTGTAAATATGAAAGGAAGAAATAAAGATTAATTATTAATTACAAACACAATTCTCCATTTTCAGTTAAGAAACATGGCAGATAGTACTCAAACCAAGTGAATATAAACATTTAATGGACACAAACTGATAAAATGCACCCTTCTCAAGTGTATCACATCAGGGAGCATATCATTTCAGAAAGTACCACCCTCAAACATACACAGCCTTAATCTAATCATGGGAGAGATCAATAAACACAAATTCAGAGGCAGTTTACAAAATAAGGTCTAAAAATTTTTAAATCAATTAGTTTTTGAAAGACAAAGGTTTAAAAAATTATACAAGATTAAGGAAGATTAAAAAGGCAACTAAATATGAAGTATGATTCTGGATCTCCCTCCCAAAAAATTGCTATAAAGGACATCATTGGGACAACTGATGAGATTTCAATAAGATCTCTAGGTTATAGCATGCAGCAGAGTTAATTTTCTTGATTTTTTTTTTTATAATCACAATTAGAAGGAACAATACTGAAATATTTATGGGTAAAGAAGCATGTCTTATTCTCAAATGGTTAAAAAAAAAGCCTATTCTCAAATGATTCTGAACAAGATACTATGTGTGTGGGGTGTGCATATGTAAAGAGTAAGAATGATACAACGATATGGATGAATCCCTAGAGAATTTTACTGAGTAAAAAAAATTAATTCCAAAATGTTACATATTGTTTAATTCCATTTATGAACATGCTTAAAATGACAAAATTAAAGAAACAGAACATAGGTTAGTAGTTGTCAGGGGTTAAGGTTTGGGCAAGGGGGATGGTAGGTATGACTATAAAAGGGCAACATGAGGGATCCTGGCTGTGACACTGAACTAGTGGTTTGTCAGATCATACCATGGGTGTATATGGTAAAGGGTACACATGATCTCTCTGTATTATGCCTCACAAATACACGTGAATTTCCAATTATAAAAAAGCTTGACTAAAAAATAAAACAAAACAATGTGGAATAATAATTTTAAAAAAATGCAAAACAAACATTTCAACTGTTAAAAATCAGAATCTTACCTTCTGTTATCCACCTTTTGATATAATTAGTCAGAAGTCCCAGGGAACTTGTCTGAATTGCTGCTGACATTATACCTTCTAATTGTTCTTCCTAAAACATGTATTAAAAAAAAAAGAAAAGAAAAAAGAAAAGAGGATGTGACATCTCAAGGAAGTTCTCAGAATAAAGAATGCTAAAGCCTATAAAAATATCATTACCCATCAGGATGGCTAGAATAAAAAAGAGACGATAGCAAGCTTCGGTAAGGATGTGGAAAAACTGAACTCTCATACACTGCTGGTGGGAATGTAAAATGATAGCCACTTTGCAAGAGTCTGGTAAATTTCTAAATATGCTAGACATAGAGTTACCCATATGACCTACAAATTCGACACCAAGCTACATACCCAAGAGAAATGAAAATACATGACCATATAAAAATTTCACATGAAGGTTCATAGCACTATTATTTGTAGTAGCCATAAAGAGGAAACACAACCCAAATGTCCATCAACTATAGACGTATACTCATATAACAGACTATTATATAGCCATAAAATAGAATGAAGTACTGATACTTGCTATAATATAGCCAAACCTTGAAAATATTATGCTAAATGAAAAAATAGTCACAAGAGACTACATATTATTTAATCTTATTTATATAAAATGTCAATAGGTTAATCTATAAAGATAGGAAGTAGATTAGAGGTTACCTAAAGCTAGGGCAGAGGAAAGAGAAAAGGGATAGAAAGCTAGTGACTGCTAACAGTATAAAATTTTCTTCAGAGGTCATAAGAATGCTCTAAAATGAAACATGGTGGTGGTCACACAATTTCATGAATATATTAAAACCACTGAATTATATACTTTAAATATGAACTGCATGGTATATCAAATATATCTCAAAAGCTGTTATTTAAAAGACTGTCAAAAAGAAATCACATTAACATAATAGATAAAAATAGGAATAGAAGGAACTACAATATGATAATGAACTCCAAAAACTAAAAAAGCAAGATTCTAAATGGAGGTCGACTAAAGTCATTTTAAAGTCATTTAACACCAGGGACAAATCAAGAAAGTCTCTGCTATTACCATTACTGTCCTATAGTTTATAGAAATTCTATCACGTGCAATGAGAAAAGTAATTTAAAAACAGAAAAAAAAGAAGTCTACATTTGCTGATGATGGCATTACTTTGAAAGTTAAGTACATATTAAAAAAATACAAAAATGAACTGCATTTTTATGTACAGTCATGGATCACTTAATGACAGGGATATGCTCTAAAAATGTATTAGGTGATTTCATTGTTGTAGGAACATCACAGAGTATACTTACACAAACTCAGATAGTGTGGTCTACTACATACTGAGGCTATAGAGTATAGCCTGGGCTCTAAACATATGTGTCATTTTACTGTGCTGAATACTGTAGACAGTTATAACATAACGGTTAAGTATTTGTATATCTAAACACAGAAAAGGTACAGTAAAAACACATTATATCATAATCTTATAATCTAATGGGACCACATTCATATATGTGGTCCACTCTTGTATAATAGAGAGCTAATAACATGATTCAACAGAAACAAACAACAGAGATAAAAATCATCTCACTTGACTTAAACTAGAAGGCTGAATATCAGTAAGTCTGGGTGAGAGAAGGCCAGCTATAAGACATCGATTATAACCATCAGGAATGACTTCATTGAGAGATAGCCTTGATTTCTTTAAAAAAGTCAAAGTCTGCAACAGATAAATTAATAAGACATCAATTAATATTCAATTCATCTAATTTAAGAATAAATTTCCCTACCTTACACTTAAAATTTAAATAAAGCTAAAAGATACCAAATGGAAATTATGAAAGACTTTATTTCCTTGCAAGAAACAGGGTTTATATATTCTTGAGCTAAACCAATGCTTGCTAGTTATGAATGATAATACTACTAACAAGAGTATTTTGGGTAGCTTATATATTTTTATGGTCGGTAATGTTATCTTCTCTAAAGCTGATAACCCTGGTGACATCTTGACAAACTTGACATATACAGAAAAACTACAGTCTGTTCTGTGTCTAATGTCAAAGAGATTTGGTGGCATCCATCGACATTTGGTATCTCAAAGTGCTGGGATTATAGGCGTGAGTGACCACATCAGGTCACTAATCTCATAAACCTAGCAAAAGCTGAAACATTTAAGATGAAACAAGTCAATATAATACATAATAAAATTTATATCCATGAATCAATTGAATTCCAAGATCTGACTTCAAGTAAATAGTTCACATTGCTTGTTGTTACCTACCTCCTTCTGAAATCCAGTACAAGTTATATGAACAACTCCTGAGTTTAACAAACAGGTGGCATCTAAAAAAAATTTTTTTTTAAATCTACGTAAATATTATATTTTAAATGACATTAATACAACAAAATTTATACAAATAATAGACTGCTAGGTATGTCAAATTTTACATATAATTTAAAAATAAACCTTCAGTTATCTTCATTTATAGGATAGCAAATCTATTACAAATAAATTAATTGTAAAATAGTTATCATCTTTCCTAGCAAATTCAAATATTAGATATCTCATGTACATATAATTTCCTAAGTTATCCATTTGTTAATTACAAATACTGAGATATGAACAGATAGTACTATTTATATAAACTGTACAACATACATATCTACATACTTTTGCATGTTACATTTCTTAAAAGGTAATGTTAAGGAAGTACATACCAAAATTATAAGTACTTGGGTTAAAAAACTGCTCAGGAGGTGGATATGAAGGAGGAACTCCTCGACTTAAACTTTTCTCATGTACTAATATATCCAAGATGTAACGTGGAGAAGTCCTACTTACAACAGAATCCAGTGACCACAGTGCAAAATAAGAGCAATTATGAAGATATTCTCCTGATCTAAAAGACAATTTAAGACATCATTAAGTCAGTGGTAAGCTACAGTGACCAAAAAGAGAGAGTGGTCACAGACAATGAAGAAGAAAAAGAATCATACCTTAATGAATCTGGCATTTGTGCATGATACCAACGATTTATGTCAAAAAGCCCTAAATATATAGAAGGTGTTCCCTGTCCATACATATTCACTTGCCAGGTAAAGACTGAAACACTGGTGTCAGGAGACAAAGCTGGAAAAAAGATAATTTAAAAATAAAGAATCTCAAAGTAAAATCACCTCAATAGAAGTGTAGCAAGATTTTCTCATAAATTAAGGTTTACTTTACATTTCATTTGATTCATCAAAATGTATTTCTATTATCACATTGTAAGAGATTCATTCACTTGTATCTTTTCTACTTGAAGACCTTATTAAAAAGCACTCCCCTTATAAGAAAAGCTGTATCCTGCTTTTTCGGGTTTAATACTCGAGTAATGTTGAGGTACTGGAGGCAGGAAGTAGAAAATAATTTGAATGAATAGTCTCCCAAACATGGTATGTAGCAAGTACTAGAGCAGTTTAATTCACTACCCAAAATGGATGCCTTTGGGCATTAAGGTTAATCCTTTAGAGGAACGGTTGAGAAGGACTGATCTAGCTATACGGTAAAGGAGGAAAAAGAGACAAGTACTTAGAGGGTGCCTGTGGAATGGAAAGATAGGAGTAAAGTAAGAAACAGCAAGAGGAAAAAAGTAAGAATCTAAAACACTCCTAATGGGAAACAGAAAAAAGATTTGAATGAGGAATCAGAGAAAGCTCATGACAAGGTTTGCTGTTGACATGTTTATCTGATAAATAAGAGCATATATATGACCAGGGCCCTGGTGAACATTCCTGGAACTGACTAAGTCTATCACATTATCTCATTCAAACCTCACAATCTTCTTCTGCAAAAGGTATAACTGTACTTACAGATGAGAAAAGAGGGCTCTGAAATGTTAAATTAACTTGTCAAAGATCACAACTAATGTCAGGACTAGAATGTGAATCAATGCTAGGTTCTAAAAAACTACGCAACTTTTACTATGCCAGGGAGATAAACACTAAAGGAAACTGAGGAAAAATTCAAGACAACCTAGGCATGCTTGCCATATATGGCTCAAAAAAATACATAGAGGTCAATATTATTCAAACACTAACCATGTTAGTTAAGACTAGAGACCATCTATGTCTGTTTTGAGAACTGAATTAAAACAAAACCCTAATCTATTCAATTCTTGAGTTCTATACAGCAATCTGAATTATAGGAAATACATAGTACTTCATACAGATCTGAATTAATTCCATAATTAGCATTCTAGTTTTTTAACTGCCAGGAGTATGAACTCTAGAAACGAATACCTGTTATACATCATAAATCAAAATAAATCTTAAATCAAGCCTTAAAATGACATAATTACAATACTTTGAACCAACCTTCATTCATGCCTTCCTCTCTGTCGCCATGAGATCGAAATTTCTCTATACTCTGGCATCCCAACAATTTGGTATTACTAGTCTGTCCCCTCAAAGGAAACATGCTACCTGTCAGGTCCAGTGTATATCTTTCTTCACAGTACTCTAACCCCTGTAATATAAAATGTACAAATATTAATATGATTCTAAGCAAAAGGTCCTTCTAAAATTAAAAACTCCCTAAATTTAAAGATTTTTTACACAACACAAAGAAAACACAAATTAAGATAGAAGAGAACAAATCACTGAAAAGGGCTCTAAAAGTCTACACACTATAAAACTAATTAAAAGCTAAATTTAGTCTCTCAAAAATAATTACCAACAAATCTTCTAAATTATTATTAAACATGGACCACTCATGCACTACGGAATGGTAAGTAAACTGGAATAACCATCAAAATTATATATGCATACATCAATCCTATCGCCATGTTCTCACTGAAATTCTTGCTCTAGAATAGATCTTAAACATTGTTTTTGTTTATTGGTCCCTTTAAGAATCTGACCAAAGACTATGAGACTCCTCAGAAAAATGCATGATCGGAAAAATGCCATACGTAATTTCAGGGACTTTTTCTAAATTCCCTGAAACCCATCCATATGCCCCTCAAACATGAGGTTAAGAAAGCCTGTTCTAGAGACAGGCATGTGAGGGTGTGCAAGATATGGCTATTAGCAGCACCCCCACTACTTCCTCATGAATTCAGTCAAAAAAACTGGTAGTTATCTGAAAGTCTAGGTGCATATACTCTCTTTATAAAGTTACCCTACAGCTTACTGCTTGATATGTTAGAGCAACAAAGCGGCATTATTTTTCCCAGGTACCAATTAAGCCACAAGCTTGATTGAATCCAGTCCAATCCTCTCTGTGTAGAAGAAAATGATGCCTAGGGAAGTTAAGAATGCTACCTTGGAAAACCAGGTAAAACAGATGGCTAATCTACAGATTAAAAAGATCTCTAATTTAATACTACTTCTACTATGCGTACAATATTAACTTGAATATAAGAACAGCTATTCAGTATCTTAAAGCAAAGACAACACACTTAAAACAGGGAAACACTGAACAAAATGCTAACATAGAACCATATTACCATGACCATTTACCTCATATAAGACTTGTCCTGATGCCAAACACTTTCTATCACCAAAGGCTAGCTGAAGTAGATGCAAGCTCAAAATATCCCCTTCACTGAAAGAAACAAATTAACCAAGACATGCTGAATTATCATATTAACACATTAATATCTTTTACTGTCCAAATAAGTTGTTTGCATACAATTAAGTGCATGTGACAAAATTGTGAAGAACTTAGTTTTTATTTAGTTGTTTTCATAAGCTGTCCTTTAAACAATAACTGATTTTTATTTTTTATTGACTCTAATTAAATTGACGCCGTTTGCATACTTTAGGTGCTATATATGTGGTGGTGACTATAACTGTTTACTTCATATTTTCTTAAATATACCTTTCTTCTTCAATAGGTATCTTTTACTTAGACATGCGACTGCCTAAAATATCTACTACATTTCCCAGCTTCCTTTGCAGCTAGGTATAGTAGCTCTGTGGCCAAGTTCTGGCCAATGGGATATGAACAGAATTATCCCAGGGCAACTAACTGAGAACTTCCCTTAAGAGGCAATATGTCCTTTGCTCCTCCTTTTCACTCTCTTCTTCCATCCTGCCATTCTTTTTGTTTTTTTTTAAATAGAGATGAGGTCTTGCTGTGTTGCCCAGGCTGGTCTCGAATTCCTGGGCTCAAACAATCCTACTGTCTCACCCTCCCGAGTACCTGGGACTACAAGCATGCACCATCACACCTAGCCAATTTATATTTTATTTTTGTAGAGTCAGGGTCTCGTTATGTTGCCTAGGCTGGTCTCCAACTCCTGGGCTCCTCCTGCCCTGGCCTCCCAAAGTGTTGGAATTACAGGGGTGAACCATGGTGCACAACAATTCTTTTACTTAAAACGAAGATGCTGCCCTGAATTGTTAGGATGAGGGCTACACAATAAGGACACAAAACCCTGTACTATTCAAGAACACAGCACTGCAGTAATTGGTAAGAGCCCAGATCCCAGAGTCACATCATCTGAACTTGAATTCTTACTACCAGCTGATCCTTCTCAAAACATTTCTTTTACTTGACTTCTAGCAAACCACATTCTACTAATGTTCCTCATAACACATTATTTACTCCTTAGTACTTTTCTGCCCTGCCCTCTTGCTCTCAATCTCCAAGTATCTCTAAGTATTGGAGGGTTTCATTGGTTGCTTATTGTTAGAATCACCAGATGAGCTTTAAAAAATACTAATGCTGAAATTGATTTAACTGGTCTGATGTAGCCAGAGAAAACACAAAACACTTTTTTATCTTGCCCTACACATCCCTACATGTAAACCAGTTCTACTTTTCTGGTTTCGTATACAAATACTGTGCTCTACCCTTAGTGGTCTTGCTTTTCCTTGAGACATTTTACTAAGACCTGTACATCTGTCCAGTTTTTTTCACTGCTCTCCCCTATCCCTGTCTCAACTTCATCCAAATCTCTATGGCAACATTATCTAAAGTAGTAGTTACCTCTACTCTACTATACTCAATATCCCCTTTCTCAACTTTATTTTTCCACATTTAACATCATTACCTGAAGTTATATTAAATATATATAAAAATGCATTTATTCACTAGCTCTCTTCCTCACGGGAATATAAACTCCAGAAAAACAAATTTTATCTGTCTGACACACTGCTATATTCCCTAGAACAGTTACTGGTACACAGTACATGCTCAATAACTGTGTTAAATAGATAAATATACAGCCACAAAACAAAGACAAAATAGCCTCTAAAACTTAAATAGTTAACAGGATAGACCATATACCACTAACATGAAAGGGAACACCCAGTCAGTTTTTGCATTTCCATTATTATAAAACTAAATGTAGCTTTTATCATAAATGATGAGATTATGATAACTAGTTTCAGATCTATACCAATGTAATTTTATGGTTGTATATTTGCTCTAGGGTTCTTTTCTCCTCTTCTATTTTGTCTAAATTATAGCTCTGATAGAGAAAAAAAGATCACACTAACTGTCTTTCTGATTTAGACTTATAAACTAAGCTTATATTTATTTTAAATCTACTTATAATACCAATAAGGTGCTGGGAAACCACTGACCGGGGAGAGGGAAAATTGACACTGTAATACTATATACCTTTGTAAAATAAAAAATTAGTCTAAGAATGATTTCAAGCATGTTCCTGACTTGTAGTCTCATGAGTAGACTTAGGACAATCTGTGAACTTCCTTACAATCTATAAAAAATTATTTATATTTTATATATGATATGTACATATATGTGTATAGGTGTATGTGTATGTACCAATATATATCATAGGTAACATATCATATCATAGGTGTATTAAATATCTAATAGACATACAACAATACATATCATAGCCATCGCCAGATTCTCAACGAGGTGCATGACCTACAATTCTAATCAAAGACAAAAACACCAGATCTAAAAAAATCCCCAAAAACTTCATAATCAATAGTAATGACAAATGCAAAGTAAATAATTTAGGAATAATTCAAATTACAAATCAAATTAAACCTGTTCTATCAAAAAAAGGTACAAATATTAGAAAGTAAGGCAGGGCGTGGTGGCTCAAGCCTGTAATCCCAGCACTTTGGGAGGTGAAGGCAAGAGGACTGCCTGAGTTCAGAAGTTTGAGACCAGCCTGGGCAACTTGGCAAGACCTCATCTCTACAACAAATCAAAAAATTATCTGGGCGTGGTGGCATATGCCCGTGATTCCAGCTACTTGGAAGGCTGAGGCAGAAGGACCACCCGAGCCCAGCAGGTTGAGGCTGCAGTGGCCGTGAGCATGCTACTGCATCTAGCCTGGGTCACAGAGTGAGACTCCTACTCAAAAAGAAAAGTATTAGAAAAAAGCTTTTAAAAATCACTTAAGACCAGGAATGGTGACTCAGGCCTGAAATCCCAGCACTTGGGCAGGCTTAGGTAGGGGGATTGTTTGAGTCCAAGAGTTCAAGGCCAGCCTGGACAATAGAGAAAGACCTCATCTCTACAAAAAATTAAAAAATTTACCGGGCTATGCAAGAGGCTGAGATGGAAGGATCACCTGAGCCCAGGAGGTGGCGACTTTGGAGAGCTGTGATCACACCACTGCACTCCAGCATGTGCAACAGGGTAAGACCCAGACTCAAAAAATACTCAGTATGTTGTGAATACTCAGCATCACCATAACAAAGCCAGAAAGCACTACCCCGTCCATATTTAAAACTGTGATTCATCTGTATTTAGAATGCATATATACTTCTGAAAATAACCTCGAAAAGGGTTTAAGGGAACTGCATGTGGTTCATAAGGATTTTAGGAAAAAAAATCAGAAATAGAGAAAGTTCAAATACCTTAATGCTTACAAAAACAATGTGGGCATCAATTACACTATTAAAAAGATTAAATCTCTACAAAATTCATAAAATTAAGAGTGGCATGGCAAAAGTGAAAACAAACTTATCCTCCAAGTTACAAGATATATGAGTAGGAATCCCTTTAGGCTTTTGTGTTGAGAATATAGAAAAAAATCTACACAAAGAATAATAAATTTATAGAACTCATCTCAAGGGATAATACTGGAAGGAAAAATAAAAGGAATGCAAAAATTGTTTCAGGTTGGTGACTCACAGCTGTAATCCCAGCACTTTGAGAGGTCAAGGTAGGAGGGAGGATTGCTTGAGTCTAGGAGTTTAAAACAGCATGGTCGTGGTAGCATGAGCCTTTAGTCCCGGCTACTCAGGAGGGTGAAGCAAGAGGACTGCCTGAGCCCAAGTCATCAAGGCTGAGTGAGCTGTGAAAGTGCCTCTGCACTTCAGCCTGGGTGACTGAGTGATACTCCAACTCAAAAAAAAAAAAAAACATGCAGTAAAAGTCTTCCCTCATTCCGCACTACTTTAGGGCCATCATGAATTCTTCAAGTTGCTGCTGGTCCACAACTGACCCAAATGGACGGGAATATGGATATGACTCAATGAGTTGAGTTCCAACAGCTATTTCTATGTTTTCATTTTAACTTTCTCCAGGATAGACAAATATGAGAAGTGGCAAGGTAATTCTTCATTCATTGACTCATTTACAATATGAGGTAAGATAAACTTTAAAAGTGGGGATATCCAACATAAAGACCCAAACTTACCACAGTCCAAGCACCAAGAATCTAAGATGAACTTAAAAGACAAAGTACTGGGAACAATAAAGTTATCAAGATCATACATAGCATTTATATCACACACACAACTGTTTCATCATCAAAGAAAGAATTAAATACCAATGACTAAGGGAAAACCAATAATTATACTTTCTAGTAACAGAAATGAACAAGCCTAATTGGTTAGAAATTAAAGTGAAAGGTGGAGCAAAATTAGAGCTTATGACAGAGAATGATTAGCCAAATTAATCCTAACAATATACTGTAAAAGGAGAGAAGAACAAAAAAGAAAGTGGAGGTAAACACAAAGGAAAGATGCATACACAATGAAGAGAAAAAATGGCATGAGACGGTAATAAAGAAAAGATGGTCTTACGAGTAGAAGGTCATAAGTCAAGTAAACACAATTTCTTCTTACTGATATCTCAGAATTACTCAAACATGTGAAAACAACCATTTAACTTTTAAAATAATTTCAATGACCTCTAATTAACTGAAAGAACTATGTTGCTTTCACTAAAATACTACATAATACAAAACTTTCCAAGAGATATTAACTATTGTTCCATTTTTTTTACAAATACACGTATTGCATGTGCATAGTGGCTCACATCTGTAATCCCAGCACTTTGGGAGGCTGAGCTGAAAGAATTGCTTGAGGCAAGGAATCTGATACCAGTCTGGGCAACGTAGTAAGACTCCTTAGAACTCCTTCTATAGGAGAAAAAAAATAAAAACAAGCATGATGGTGTATGCCTGTAGTCCCTGCTACTCAGGAGGCTGAGGCAGAGGATGGTTTGAGCCCAGTGGCTCAAGGTTGCAGTGAGCCATGATCGCCCCACTGCACTCCATTCTGGGCTGGAGCAAGATCCTGTCTCTATTAAAAAAGTAGGAATAAAATACATGGGGCTGGGGGGAGAGGGGGAGTGCAAAAATAAAATAAAATACACATATATCATACTTACCTATCTTGTGTAGATTGAACAGCCCACAAGTAGCAGCAATTACGAGGATCATTCTCAGGTTCCTGAAAAGTAACAGCATATACAGGAATTCTCCCACCTTCCAATTGTGTGTAATATCTGAAACAGACAATTTAGTAGATTTCATATTTTTAAGCTATTTTATAGAAAAGGAAGGAAAAAGACATTTCATGTAAGAATCTGGGTTGAGCAACCACTGTTCATACAATCCTCCAAATTAAGTTATATGGAGGGGCACAGTCAAGTCATCTTGTCTTAAAAAATACACAGAGCATACGACATCAAGACTATGGGCATGCCACCCTCTCCCTCTCCCTAGGTAGAAATGGGAAGAAGTAGAATTACTAAAGTGCATGCATATATGAATGTGTAAAGTGGTTCTATGAGTCATACCAATGTACACCACTATGTACTGCTTGCTCAACCATAAAAGAAACCCTACAAAGAGACAAAATACTGCCACAATACTCCATTTCAGTCACTTGGGTTTAGAGTCAGTTTCTCCACTACTACAATGGGAGATGAGCTAGAAACTGAAGAGTTCTCACAAACTCCTTAAAAAGCACAATTAGCCAAGAGATGATGGTGTTAGAGAAAATACTGCTTAGAAGCAAGATTCTCCAGGTACTTCTTTAGGAACAATTCAAAGATAAAAGTTGATGAGAGGTTAACAGTAAAGAGAGTTAAAATGAACTTCCCTAAGATAAATTATTCAAGGAAACAGACCAATATTCCTAGAGAAAAAAAGAACAAAAAATTGACAAGTTAAATGCCAAACAGGTATCTATTTACTCTTAATTTTTTTTTTTTGAGTTGAAGTCTCACTGTTGTCCAGGCTGGAGTGCAGTGGCATGTCTACAGCCACTATAACCTCTACCTGCTGGGCTCAAGCGATCTTTCCACCTCAGCCTTCCAAGTAGCTGGAACTATAGGCGTGCGCCACCAAGCACAACTAATTTTTTGATTTATTGTAAAGACAAGGTCTCGTCATGTGGCCCAGGCTGGTCTCAAAACCACAGGCTCAGGCAATACTCTCACCTCTGGCCTCCCAAAGTGCTGGGATTACAAGTGTGAGCCATTGTGCCTGGCTCTATTCAACACTTCACAGAAATTAACTTTTATCTATAATCCTATTTGCTATGTCCCTCAATATTACAGGCAATTTTAATTCCATCAATACATTTTCAGGACTTTTTCACAGCATAAAAAATTTTAAAACACATTATTTTATAGCTTCTTTTTTTTAGTCCCATTTTTCTCTCAAATGAGAACACTACTAAACTGCTGCTTTACACAGATGATTATGGAAAAGAGGACTTATGAAAGAACTCGCACAAATACACTGATCTCCTGCTTAACAATAGGGATCTCGGCCAGGTGTAGTGGCTCATGTCTATAAACCCAGCACTTTGGGAGGTGGAGGCAAGAGGACTGTCTAAGCCCAGGGGTTCGAGACCAGCCTGGGCAACTTGGTGAGACCTCATTTCTAAAATAAACCAAAATATTATCCAGGCATGGTGGCACACACCCGTGGCTCCAGTTATTTGGAAGGCTGAGGTGCAAGAATTGCCTAAACCCAGCAGGTCGAGGCTGCGGTGGCCATGATGGTGGCACTGCATTCCAGTCTGGGCAACAGAGAGAGATACTGACTCAGGAAAAAAAAAGAAAAAAAAAAAAAAAGAAAACCAATCGACCAACCAATCAAACATACAAAAAACTAAAAACAAAAACAAAACAAAATCCAATAGGATCTGTTCTGAGAAATGTGTCATTAAGCAATTTTGTCATTGTGAGAACACCATAGAGCATACTTAAACAAACCTAGATGGTATAGCCTACTACACACCTAGGCTATGTGGTATAGCCTATTGCTCCTAGGATACTAACTTGTACAGCATGTTACTGTTTTGAATACTATAGGCAACTGGAATACAATATAAGTATTTGTGTATCTAAACATAAATAAGGTACAGTAAAAATGCAGTATTATAATCTCGTGAGACCATCTTTGTATATGTAGCCTGTCAATCATTGTTATGTGGCCACCTGACTACATGGTTTATAGTCACGCCTCACTAGCAAATGAAACACTGCAATATCTGCAATGCCTTTTAAATAAACTCTGAAAGATCAATCTAAATTCTAAGTCATCCCTTTATTGCATCAAATTATAATACCATAAAAATTATGCATACTCATTCATTAATCTATCCTACTCTTTTCTCATTATGCTAACTTCAATATTTAAATACAAGCTATATGCAAAAAGAAACTACCTATAAATTAAGAGAAAAAATTATACTTACTCTCTTTTCATGCTTTTCATGTTCCAAAGTGCTAGACAGCCATCAGAAAAACCCACAGCAAGTTGATTTGTCCTGTTTATGTAACTAAGAGTTGAAATGGCTGTTCCTGTTGGACTTACTAGCTGGAAACACAGATGGCGTCCTTCTCTCATTACACTTTCTCTGATGTGTGGTACTTCTGCTGGAATACCAGTTATAACTTCAAGGTCTAAAAACAAAAATCAGACAAATAAGGTCAGCATAAAAGTTAAATGTGTCATCTGCTACAAACTGCAAATGAAGTCTGTGTGACAACTGTACTGACATTTTGGGTCACACGATCTTTGCTGTAGAGGATGTCCTATACATTTTGAGATGTTAAGCAGTTTCCTAGGTTTCTAACTACTAACAGCCAGTAGTACTATCTCCCTCCAGTATTAACAAAGGTTGATGAAAAACTTTAAAAAGGTTCATGCTGTCATCAGCTGATCACTAGCTGAAAAAACTTGACACCATGTGCCTCTTGATGTGATACAATATGACATATACGGCACCTTCAAATTACTCTTGCCAAAACATTAAACCTTAATTTATAATCAAAGCAAACTCATATTTGCAGAAAAAACCATAAATGGCACCACATAAAATCACATAGTAAATTCCAAAACGCGGGACCCTCTACCAGATAACTAACTTCTTTGGCAAGTCAATGGCACTAAAAATAAGTAAGTAAATAAATAAATAAGTAAAAGATAGAAAGAGGATTGCTGTACTCTCAAGGAGACTTGAGAAATAACTGTCAAACTGTAGACCTTTGAATTTTCCAGTTCAAACATCCCAAATTACATTTTAAAAAAGATTTTTTGGATAATCACATTAATTTATTTAGGAATTGAATATCAGATTATGCCAAAGAATTGTTATGAATGTGATTAGGAATGAATGATGTTATAATCATGTAAAATATTCATATTTGCTTTAACCTAATGCAGAGGAAAAGAGTTTGGAAAGCAGGAAAAAAAAAAAGAAAGCAGACACACAAATGGTAAATGTTGAAAATTAACTTGAATTTGGGTGGTGGGCATAAAGGAACTCCTGTATTCTTCTATCTACTAAAAAATGTCTAAAATCTTTAATAAGAAAAAAATTCCAACCTATATACTAATGTAAACATTGTACAAGAGCAAATTCTCTGTTATAAAGGGGGAACAAAAACCATATCCTACTATACTTGGTTATCTTTCCCATTCTTTCAGCTTCTGATTACTTTTTCAAAGAACAGCAAATGATTAGATTTTGCCAAAATAAACCGTTCATATAATGGAATATTATAAAGTCATTCAAAGAATAAGGCAGACCCTTTATCTTCTTATGTGGCAAGGTGCATTAAGAAAAACTGTTAAAGCCGGGCTCGTGGCTCAGTCTGTAATCCCAGAGCCTTGGGAGGCTGAGGTGAGTGGATTGCCTGAACCCGCAGGTTCGAGACCCGCCTGGGCAACTTGGCGAGACCTCACCTCTACAATAAATAAAAAATTAGCTGGGCATGGTAGCGTGTGCCTGTAGTTCCAGCTACTTGGAAGGCTGAGGCGGAAGGATCTCCGGATCCCAGCAGGTCAAGGGTGCAGTGGCCGGGAGCAGCTACTGCACTCCAGTCTGGGCTACAGAGTGAGACTCCAACTCAAAAAAAAAAAAAAAAAAGGAAAAACTGTTAAGTTCGGGAAAATTGCAGAATGGTTATTTATAGAATGATATATGCTAGGAACTTCATTTTCTGTTAGTGTATTTCAGTGACGTCTAAACAGTTGTAATCAGGCCGGGTGTGGTGGTCCATGCTGCAGTGAGCTGTTATCGTGACACTGCACTCCAGTCTGGGTTACAGAGACTCTGACTCAAAAATAAAAATGAAAAATAAACAGTTGTAATCAAAAACTACTTTTGAAAACAAAAAAAATTTTTAAAAATAAGTTTTGCATTAAGTGCTAATTTTTGTTTTATAAAATTCAATTGCTTCCTAATTCTCAAAATTGAGAAATGGTTCTGATAACAATCCAGAGACTTTCATTAGTGAACCTACTAATTACTGACTTCTGAAATGAATGCTTTAACTACCATATTGATCTGATGAGTTTTCAATGTGAATACAAGCATTTAAAAATAGCCTGATACCTATAATCATACAAAATACACACTGCAACAAAAGCCCATCCCTACTTAATTCTTTCATCAATTTCCCATAGAGCATTCAAACATTCCACAAATTTATTTTTAGTTATTGTTTTTGCTAATAAATGATTTTCATTTAAATTTTACCCAAAACTTGATGAAGACTTTTTTTTAAGAAGTAGGATACAATTCAAAGTTAGGTACATAAGTGGTTATCATACAGGTAAAATTTGGGCCTCCTTTTGGTCCCCACTTTGCTTGGTTTGAGAGTGGGTACGCTTATTGATGCTATGCACTCCCCGCAACAGTGTCCCACTACTGCCAATCCCTTTCTTATAGTATTATGATAAATGTTCAAGGTCTGCTTATGAGTGAGTACATGTAGTACTCAGATCTTTTGAAGATTTTTTTTAAGTGCCTGCGTGGCCATCACTTCTGACAAATCAAAAATTTTAGATCATATTTTGCATATTTAAATTTTATTCAGATGATTTTGGTTCTTGTCAATTTCTACTTAAATAGTTTATCACATGCAATATTAATCAGTTTTATTATAAACTGGACAAAATGTTGCTAGTTTATATCCATTTCTTAGCTGATCCACAAATGAAAAGATCTACACTTATATATTAGACTTGTTTTAAAAATCAAGACTCAAGAACATTATCAAAAAGTCAAAGCCTTTTCAGAGTCAAGTGATCCCTTAGAAGTAATCAACACTTTTTTTTAGAGTTTTTAGATTAGCTCTTCCTCTCTACATAAACCAGAATCTCATAATTTTAAAAAACTGAAAGCATTTGAAAAAGAATAGTTATAAACATAAGCATTTAAAGGAGAAAAACAGTCTCTCTTCATTTTTTTCTGAATATCATTAGTTCTATTTTAGGATGTTATTTTGTGAGAAAAACTTTCAATTTCTCTATTATTTCCTATTAAATTATTTCTATCTTGGCCTTATCATAGGAACATAAACAATATGACAAAAACACTATGTTAGATACTACATGGCCGGATAATTTCATAATGGCTGATAAAGATCATTATTTTCTATATTTAGCCCTTGTTCTGGCATTTACTTAAGAATAGATCTTATTCAAATATATATATGGAAGCAAATCAGTATCACTACCTTTCCCAAGGACTACTTTTTATGAATACTTCATCAACAAAATAGAGTATCTCATGTAAGAAGTAACCACAGTGCCCAGCTTCAGACAATGAAAGAAAAGGACTGCCTGAACCCAGCAGGTTGAGGGCTACAGTAGCTGTGAGCATGCCACTGTACTCCAGCCTGAGTGACAGAGTAAGATCCCAACTAAAAAAAAAAAAAAAAAAAAATACTGCACCAGAATATTGAGGTGTTCAATTTTTTGGCTTCCAGTAAAGAACTTCTAATTAATTACCTGATGCTTCTGCTTCACTTTGACTGCATGACAAGTCATCCAAACAAAGGTCAATAAGAAGGATCTGTCCAACATCAGTTACTACGGCTGCCACTCCAAAAAGCCATCGTAGACTTGGGTGTAAATGTTGAGTGCTTGCACTGGCTCCTCCATGATTAATTATAGGTTCAACAGCTGTTACCTATAACACAGAATGTACTATTTGCTTTTCTTCTCCAAAGTGGTAAAATACAACTAATAGCACAATAAACAAATTTTTATAATAGATTTAAATATTATCAAATATAAAATCACAATTTACATCTGACACTTGTGAATTCAAACATAATGAAATCTTCAAATATATTGGAAATTACATAATTGTTCAACATATTAAAAATATGCAGTTGGAATAATGACTACTGTTTACTAAGAGCTTACTATTGCCAGGCACTGCGTTAACTGGCTCATTTAATGATCATAATAACCCTTTGACATTGAACTCTACGTAATTATCTGTTTAAAGATGAAATAACCTGAGGCTTAGAAAGTTAGCCAAGTTATTCATGTCATATAATCATTAAGTATAAAATTCAAACCTAAATTGTCCTCATTTTAAAGCTCTTAACCAGTCACTCTAGGATTACACAGCTTCTAAGAATAAACACAAATCATTCCAGAAACAATTACTGTGGCAGTGACTGGATCACTGACACTTAAGAATTTGAATTAAAGAATATGTACCTTGGCTACTTTATAGAGTTCACACTTTCCTCTTCATCTCGAGTCAAATTTTAAATGTCTACACCTAATCATTTATATTTTATTTTAAAAACTTAGTTTTCTGTTTGTTTCCTGTTAATTCATAAAAATTAATTAGGCATGATATAGGATGGTAAAATGTTTGGTGATTTCTACTATAATACAAGGTTGAATATCCTAAATACAAAAATCAAAAAATTTAAATACTTCTGGTCTCAAGCATTTTGGATAAGGGATTAGCAACCTATATTGAGGAATGTCCTAAAAAAAAAAAAAAAAAAATTGGCATCAGTGGTTTATGAGTTAATATGATTAAAAGTTTTTTTTTCAGGCTTTAACTTACTATTACAGACAAAAGTCTGGCTCTTTCTCTGTATCATTAGTACACAAACATTACAAAGTGTTTCTAATTCTGAAATCCGTAACTCCATCATTTTCTTCCTTTTCTAATTATTATAATAATATCTATAAATGCTAAATCATATTCTCTTCAGATCCCCAGTGAAGGGTATAGAATCTCAGTTTGTATTTCTCATACAAATACTATATGAAGTGATTAATAATGCTATCTTAATTTTAGAAGACAGTTAAAATCATATTTAGGAGGGAATACTATGCCCTAGCCAAAAAATAGCTAAGCTAGCTGAACTTCTTTTGAAACTATCTAACACTACTCTCCCAAACTTTTCTTTATTCTACATTCTCTCTTCCATATGCTACCAAGCATCCACTCAATTGAGCAACCAGTTCAAGAACCTTGTTTCTTCTCAATTACTCATCCAAATGATTGATGAGTCCTGTCCAAGTTCCCTTCTGAATATATTTTCAGTCTCAACCATCCTCTTCACTCCTACAGCCATTTCCTTAGTTCAGTTCCTCGCCATTATATACCCAACCTACAAATCTCCTTGTTTCTATTCTCACAGTACTCTCTCTGATCCAATCCAAGGAAATTTTTTAACACAAGAGTTCTTAAGACTTAAAATTACTTTACCGTCGACTATAGAAGGAGGCTCCTAGTTAAAAACAAAGCCATTCACAATCTGAATCCTCATCATTTCTTGTCCCTACTTCCTCCGTCCCCATGTTCCCAGTCATTCTAAATTAAGTCAGTTTCCTAAATGCTCCATGTACTGTTGCTTTTTTCCATGCATTTTTAAACCTGAAATGTCCAAGTCTTTTGGGTAGAAAGTATCCAGATGTTCTCCATGTTTCAAGTGCTTAAATTTACCCAAGTATTTACTATTTCTATGCTATAATCTTATTTGTCTGTCTTCTTCTACTAGGACTATAAGCTTTTTAAAAGCACAAACCAAGTTCAATTAATCTATCTACCCCAGCATCTAGTATATTTTCCATACTACTCCAAGACTACAGTCTCAAATTAAAAGATAAAAAATTTTTTTTTTAATTCCAAAATAATGAATACATTTCAAAAAACACAACTGGCGACAAGAACAAGACTCAGATGTTATTTTTCAAAAAAAGAGAATTAGAACGTTAGATGTCACTGCTGTTCTAACTTTGGAATTTTTAAATCAAGAACAAGAAAGTTGTATTTTAAATGTTAAGTTCCTTAGATAAAAATATCATCTTTAACCTCCTTTTTATTCTCAACTTTTTACTGAAGAATAACACATTTATATAAAATTACACTAATGATAAACGTACAGTACAATGAATTTTCAGAAAGTAAACACACCTGTGTAACCAGTAGGGGTTCGGTTATAAAAGCAGAATATCCAGGTATCTTAACCAGTACCTACCCTTCCAGGAAGAACAACTGCTTTAACCACTCTTGATATTCCAAGGTCATAAAGACAGAGAACACTTCCCTCTGCTTCTTCCAGACCTACTAACAAACCAGTTCTCTTCTGCCAAGAGAATACTTTCACTGCTAGAACTGTAGGAGGCTGTTCATTTAGTCCACTGAATCTATACGCAGACAATCGCTCTCCAGTTATAGAGTTTACTACCTCAAGTTGTGGACCATAAGCTAAGCAAGCAAGTCCAGTCTTCCCTAGAAGGAAAAAAAAAAAAAGCAAAATTAGTGCTTATTTTATTATTGTATGTATACAACAAAATAAGCTCTCTTACATATATATACGTACACAACATACAGCTCATTACACAAAACTTCACGTATTATCCCCAAATTGAAATTTAAGCACTTATAAGAACAGAGTGATCTTCAAATTAGTAAAATAAACTAAGCAACTATTGTTGCAATAATAATAATAAAGTAATCATTCAGGTAAAGGAACCATGCTACATGTTTAAACACATTCTCTCATTTATTTCTCACTATATCTCAATACAGAGATAAAATAACTAAACCTTAATACAGTTTAACCTGTCCAAAGTCACAGTTACAAAGTAACAGAGCCAGAATTAGATCCCAAGTCTAACTCTAACAGTCTAACTAATGCATTATACCTTAAAAGACTTCAACTAACAGCTATAGCTAGTTTATAAAATATAATACATAATTCTATCCCTAAAGAGTTCACAATCTAATTGACAAGACATAACTAGCATCATAATAAGAAATTATCAGAACCTCTTCCTTCTCAGCCTACTAGTCATGTTTGGATTTTATTCTGCCTGCAATGTAGTCAACAGAGGGTCTAAAGCAGGTCAGTGACAATCTGATTTATGTTTTTAAATGTTACTTCAGCTGCTAAGCTAAGAATGGACAACAAAGGGAGCACAGAGTAGAAGCAGGGAGAAGATGACACCTGACTCATAACTATGGATAGAGAAAAGTAGATTGACTGGAGGTTAATCTTAGCAGTAGAATGAATAGAATTAGCTTGCTGATGAATTCAATTTGGGGAGGTGAATAAAAGAAAAGAATTAAGAGTGGACCCTTAACTTTTGCTTGAGCAATCAGATGAATGGTGATAGCTTTTACTACTAAATTTGAGATGTCCATCATGCATCCACACTGATAGTTGATACGCTAATTTACAGCTGAGGGAGGTTACATAATTTAAGAAAGTAGCATGGTACAATAGGGACCCAGAGTGCCAAGGTTCAAAGCTGTTTTCTGACACTTGCTATCTATGTAAATGGAATCAAGTTACTGAACCTATTTGATTCTCAGCTACAAAGAAGAGTGCCTATTTAGAAAAGTTTTATACCTACCTCATTACAGGGCCCGAAGCATAGAAAGTACCATTGTTACCATTAATATTCCAGAGAATAGCACTGTAAATAGCTAAATGACTGATACATATACTTTTCTGCCTGCATGCTAAGATGACTATAAAACTTATTTTCAAAAATGTCCTCTGCTATATCTTTCATTAGACTGAAATCTATAATATAAATGTTTCTTCAGTATGGTTCTCTGCTATCTCACACAATCTAAACTACATGTTAAGATCTTGCTCGAATTAATGGAATTAGGAAATAAGACTCTGAAAACTTTTTATCATCCAGGGCTCTACAACCATATTTTTCTATTCATATAATTGTTCAGGTTCTAAGCCAAACACATCACCAATAAACGTACCAATTATTTTTTAAAAAAAAACAGTTGTATGTTATTTCTACTTCTCAAATATAGATAATAGTAAAAGATATAAAACGTGAGATTTTTAATAAGAAAAATAAATCAAGCATAATTCTCCAATCAGAGGGAGAACTGATGATGTGTTCAACAGTTTGAGGATGTCACATATGTAGCTATAAATGTCATTCGTTTATATAAGACCAGTCTACAAATCAATCATATTAGTAAATGTTTAGCAACATTATTTTTACCTGCAGCAAATTTCCCATGAAGTACAGATTCTAATGTTATTTCGTTTTCTCCAAGAGCTTTAATAGTCACTTGTGGGAAGTGCAGAAGATCACTAGTCACTTGCGCAGTTAAGTCTCGCATACTTCCACTGTAAATATTTTAAAAAGTAATATTATTATGATTAATTTGTACTATAATACAGTTTATTATCTCCAGCCAGGAAAAAAAGTAAAGCCACCACATAAAAATAATGCAAAACTAAAATCTGGGTACAAAATAAATACTATGTACATCTGGGTCCTGGGTATTCTCTCCTAAGAAAATATTTCCCACCAGGCTCGGTGGCTCAGCCTGTAATCCCACGCCTTTGGGAGGCTGAGGTGAGTGGAATGCCTGAGCCCGTGGGTCTGAGACCCGCCTGGGCAGTGAGACCTCATCTCTACAATAAATCAAAAAATCAGTCGGGCATGGTAGCGCATGCCTGTAATTCCGGCTACTCGGAAGGCTGAGGCGGAAGGATCGCCGGAGCCCAGCAGGTTGAGGCTGCGGTGGCCGGAAGCGGCCACTATACTCCAACCTGGGCGACCGAGTGAGACTCCAACTCAAAAAAAAAAAAAAGAAAATATTTCCCAAACAGCTTTAGGAAAGTAAAGAGTTATTAAGCCAGATGTCCTATAGATATATACTATTCTCTAAGTTCTTTAAAAACTGGCTCCGTGTACTTCATCTTATTGTCTAGCCTACTTGCAAAGAATACTTCAACCCCCAAAACAGGGAAAAACTGGTTGATATATTTTACAAAAATGAGCTCTTTAGTAAAAGGGGAAAAAGTCCATGAAAAAAATGTGCAAGTCCACAGAAACTTCAGAAATTGAGTTTACAATATATTTTCCACTGGATAGAAAAAGTCTAAGATTGTCTTTCATCTCTAATTTGCAGAAGTCTAGATTCCCTGAATGAGCCCTCCCATTATAAACAACCAAAAATGCTGGTTAAAACATAAAAGTATCTTTCCGACTGAATGAGTTGGCAAAGCTAAAAGCAAAGAGAACACAGGAATTCTGGGAGACCTGGCTTTGGTCTTGAAGGCTAGCTAGCAAATTCAATCATGGGGACTCCGATCTTGTCTTGAGCAATCCGAGATCCACAGAGGCAAAGATAAAGACTAGGGTGAATAGAACTAATAAGAGCTTCCCCTCACTACCATTAAATTCCATGGGACGATATATCATCACCCTAAAGGTGAGCAAGAGAAACACCCATTGTGCAGAATGGAAAATAACAAGTCCACCTTGCCCATGGCTCTGAGTCTCTACTCAGAAATATAACATTTTCTTTCACACAAATCATAGCCAGAATTCAAGGTAGGCAACATGAAAATCTCCAAAGGAAGACTTTATTATGAGGTATTCTCAGGCTGGTAATGCTCCAAGAAACCCACAAACACAATCACATATCCTCTGGAATTGCAAAGCTGAAACTACAAAGAAAAACTACACAAGGATACCAAGATCAACAACAGCAAAATCAGACTATCAAAGACTTCAGATTGAAATTACAAAGGACAGAAAATAAATTTCCAATATATTTATGGAAAGTAAAGATCTTGCTTGATAATGAGGAAGAAACTGTAAAAGTTAAAAATAAAAATGATCAAGTAATTTTGAAAACACAGTAAGTTCAAAAAATTAAAAATGAAATAAAGTTTAAAACTCAATGGGGAGCTGGGCTCGGTAGCTCAGCCTGTAATCCCAGCACTTTGGGAGGCTGAGGTGAGTGGACTGCCTGAGCCCGCAGGTTCAAGACCTGCCTGG